TTTAATGTAATTATTCTTTGTAATGTAAAGTTGATTTAAAGTTATTTTCTACACTTCTGCATTCAAATGGTTTAAAAATTTTGAGAAAGCTGGAACGGCACTTTGCTCTAGCTCTCTCGTGTAGCGGTATGGTAGAGGTAATGTGCATTAATATTTTAATAAATTAGAATATAAAATTTTAATTCTTTAGCTTACAACCACTGAAGAAAAAATATTTCGCCCAAACGTCAATAGTTGGAGGGTATTCATATGGGGCATTTATGAACTATCTAAAAAATATTCCAATTTTCGGAATCGCATCAATACTGCGATTGTGTACTCATACCCGCGTTCTTGTGTAAGATATTTTGTGGACGCTCCCTCACATCCACTCCAAATGAGTCGGAAATGATGTGTAGAATCAGGTATTTATGAGCTTTTCAACGACATTGTTTCTCTGTGCTGAACCATGAATCAAAATTCCTTCCCTCTTTTATAAAAGGAAGAATTCCACTCCTAAATAATGGCCTTCTAATGATGATGAAGCTTGTCAGAATAGAAGCGTTTCATTTTAGTATAATTTATAAAAAGTTGGGAGAAAAAAAAACACGTTTTTCTTTTATTATTTTAAAGCAAGGTTTATTTTATTTTATTTCATAGCTGCCGTTGAACAGTCAACCCAATTTTTGGGTTTACGACTACCAATGTTCAACTTCGTCGCCTTGTAACTTTGAACCCAATCCAGAAGACAAGAAAACTCCTGGATCAAGTATTAGGAGAAATTTGCCTTCGTGGAGGACTTTTTTTAATGGAACTAACCCGCATTTGCGTTACATGAAGAGGCAAACCACGAAAACCTCCCACGTTCAGCCTGACGGCAAGAGGACTCTAACCCATAATCCGTCTACCGCTGAGGATATTTTACGTCAGCACTGCAGACATGCCAACTTGCTCTGGACAGCAAATAAATATTTTCCGGTGGTAGTTTATTGATGTGCAATTCTTGGTTTAAAAAATTTCATTGATTAGATTTTTATCCACCACAATTTCTAAACAATTCGAAAGCTTATATTATTCACCACTTTGTTTTATTTATAATGTGCTAGACCGTTTAAAAAGTAAGCAAAATTAGTCAAATATGTGCAAATTTTAGTATACAGGTGTTTGCCGTTTTTTAAATAATTATGGCTCCTCCGGAGCAGTTGGCATCTCTGGCACTGTGGTCGGTGCGAGCCAACGACTCTTATAACTGGAAGGCTCCACACGGTTTTTTATAGATAGTCCGATCAGACCACTATGAAGATATTCCCGACCCGAGCAAGTCATTTAATACAAAATCTAGTTAAAATAAGAAAGTGGTAGCAAATGTATGACTAAAAATTTGTTTTATTTATGAATATAATCGGTTTGCCTTATTCACTTGTCAACCACTACAGATTTAATTCTCGAATATATATATGTTGAATTTCTCTCAATTACTTTTATAAAAGGTTTTGGTATCATGCGCACGCGCGGACTACTTATAAATGACAATGTGGAGGCTTTTTGATGTAGGAGGTGATGTGCGAGCCGAATGCGGAATTCGTATCGACCAGCCGTCGTTGGGATTCGAAGCCGGTCACCTCATTGGGAGGCGAGCACGCTATCTTCTAAGCCACCATACCATTTGCCTGCGCTTTTGAAAATACTACTTGTTTCAAAATACATACATTCTTAACGTATCGCGACATAAAATGAAATGTATAATCGCGTTTTTCCTACCACGCCCTACGTGCTTGTGAAGTGGGAACACTTCAGACAGTCGAGTGAATTTAAAAAAAGTTCTGGTTAAGAACATTATTCAATTGCATAAAAACTGAGCTTATAGAGAGAAACTGATAGCTGATTTGAAATCGGCGACGCAAAAACTATAACTTGAAGAGACTATATATAACTTCGACTATATATTGAAAACTATATATAACTTCGCAACTAGAGAAGAGAAACGAGGCATGTAAGCTTGCAGCTGCGATATATATTAGTGAAAGTTTCATATTATTATATTTTATATAATTATGCTTATGTTTTATATTTTATATAATTATATTGTTTATATATTTTTTTTGTTGCTTTTTAACGCTTTTTTTATAATAATTAATCATTTTTAATAGTTTATTACCATCACATATATATTTATTGAAATAAATATCATTGGAATCACACCCCAGCATTCATCAACTACAATTAAACTGTATAAAGAATGTCATTTATTAAATTAATATTTCTTGTGCGAAGTGTCTAAAAATGTTATTGCCACATCGATTTTAGTGAAGCCGTAATTCGTGACAGCCATTAATAAATAACTAAAAACCCCTATATTAAAATCATCGCCGGGCGTGAAAACTACAAGGCTCCGGACCGTGATGTTGCCGCTTGTATCCTTCTTGTCTGCCATAAATTGATTTACGTTGTACCTACGTTTTAACTGTTATTTGGTGCTTAATTGCGGTAATAAAATTTGTGTCGGCCTGGGTGGTCTATTCTTTGGGAGAGTGTTTTATTGCATAATTGCTGTACTTTTCTTGCTAGAAAGATACTATCTTCTACGACAATCGATGTTTTATTTCCATTTATGCAAGTTGGAATGTGCTGCTGGTCATATTCTAACTGCATTCAAGTTAGCGAGCTTTAGTATTGTTACGTGGTCATTTTTTCCCTGCATTTATGCTAGTGACTTTTAATCTTGTTAAATTATGTTGAGTGGTCATATTTTTTTCTGCATTCATGCTAGTGGCTTTTAATCTTGTTAAATTTTGTAACGTAATAATATTTTTTTCTGCATTCAAGCTAGCTTTTTCTAGTCTTGTAAATTTTGTTACGTGGTTGTATTTTATTCTGAGCACCAACCAGTTTTTTTAAGTCTTGATGAAATTTTCTACGTGATCATATTTTTTTCTGTTTCCAAACTAGTGGTTTTTAAGCTTTGTTAAATTATGTTAAGCTGTTATATTTTTTTGTGTGTTCAAAATAAAAGTTTTGTTAAGTTTCGTTACGTGGTCATGTTTTTTTCCCGAGCATTCAAGTTAGTTTTTTCTAGTCTTGTTAAATTTTGTTACGTAATCATATTTTTTTCTGTATTCAAGCTAGTTTTTTCTAGTCTTGATGAAATTTGTTACGTGATCATATTTTTGTTCTGTTTTCAAACTAGTGGTTTTTAAGCTTTGTTAACATTATGTTAAGCGGTTATATTTTTTTCTGCGTTCAAAATTGTGGCTTTTAATCTTGTTAAATTTTGTTGCGTAATCCTATTTTTTTCTGCATTCAAGCTAGCTTTTTCTAGTCTTGTAAATTTTGTTACGTGGTTGCATTTTGTTCTGAACACCAGCTAGCTTTTTCTAATCTTGATGAAATTTGTTGCATGATCATATTTTTCTCTGTTTTCAAACTAGTGGTTTTTAAGCTTTGTTAAATTATGGTAAGTGGTTATATTTTTTTCTGCGCTCAAAATGGTGGTATTTAGTTTTGTTAAGTTTCGTTACGTGGTCATGTTTTTTTCCAGCATTCCAGTTAGTTTTTTCTAGTCTTGTTAAATTTTACTACGTGATCATATTTTTTTGTACATTCAAACTAGTTTTTTCCAGTCTTGAGGAAATTTGTTACTTGATCATATTTTTTTCTGTATTAATACTAGTGGTTTTTAAGTTTTGTTAAATCATGTTAAGCGGTTATATTTTTTTCTGGACTTAAAATGGTGGTATTTAATTTTGTTAAGTTTCGTTACGTGGTTATGTTTTTTTTCCCAGTATTAAAGTTAGTTTTTTCTAGTCTTGTTAAATTTTGTTAAGTAATCATATTGTTTTCTGTATTCAAGCTAGTTTTTTCTAGTTTTGATGAAATTTGCTATGTGATCATATTTTTTCGTGCATTCAAACTAGTGGTTCTTAAGCTTTGTTAATTTATCTTACGTGTTTATATTTTTTTCTGCATTTAATGTAGTTGATTTTAGTTTTGTTACATGGTTATATTTTTTTCCTGGTTGAAGCTAGTTTTTTTTTTAGTCTTATTAAATTTTGTGAGTGGTCATATATTTTTCTATATTCAAGCTATTAGCTTTAAATATCGTTAAATTTTATTACATATTTTATCTGATCACATTTTATCTGATTTTTGCATTCTTCTTAAAAGGTTTTAGTATCGTTAAATTTCGTTACATGTTTAATTTTTTCCCCCTGCATATTCAAGCTGGTGGGTTCTAGTATTGTTAAAATTAGTTTCATAATTTATGTTATCATGCTTTTCTGATTTCAAGCTTTTGTGATTTAGTATTGCTGAATTTCATCGCATGTTTATATTTTTGTCCTGTATTGTAGCTGGTTAGTTTTCCTTTTTTTCTTTTTTTTTTAGTCATGTTTTTATTTGCCTACAAACTGGTGAATTTTATTATTGTTAAGTTTGTTGCGTTTTCGTTGCGAAGTTGTTATTATTAATTTTCTTTGAGCTGGTTAGTATTCAGGGTAGCTAAAACCGATAAAAATTTAGAATTTGGATTTGAAATTCCTGAATCTTGATAAAAGAGACAGTAGAGTTCAGAGCGTAAAAATTTTTCTAGTGCAAGCAAAATTCATGCTTTCATAATTAATTTACTAGATTTGATTTATAGTGGTTCTGCCCTCCATGACAAATAAATGATTCGAACATACATATAAAATACACATTAATTTAGCTGATCTGATGACGAAGTTTTTAAGCAATTTACAGATTCGATCAAAATTATTCTAAATGTGTTTTATCTTCTATTACTCAATATATATTTTTAATTGTTAGCTATTTTGTGAAAAATAAATTAAAATTGTACTATGTCTTTTAAATTTCTTAGTTTTTGTTCTTTAGTTTGCTCAAGTGTAAACGGGAATGTTTCATGAAATGCAACACTTTCATAAAATTATTTATGTTCGAAAACTGTGCTTATGTTTTATCATGTTTGTAGCTTGTTATAAATTGTGATAAAAACTGGAAATAATTACCAAATATTTCTTTTATAGGTTCATATTAAATCAGGTTTTATTATGAATGGTGTTTGTGTTAGATGGCGGGGCTGGCTTGACCTTGAAAGATTAGATGGTGTCGGTTGCCTGGAGTTTGACGAAGAAAGAGCGCAAGTAAGTAATCCAGTTTAATTTGTTGCGTTCTCACAAAATTATATCCTTTTCAACTTGTTTTTAAGCAAATGACTTTTTTTTCAAATACGCACGTCAAGCTATGTTTATTTCAATTCCTCTTTAATTACATTCATTTCTCTTTCAAAAACGGTTTTTAAGCTGTAGGGATAGGATAAAATTATGGAAACACTTCTATACTAAACACTTCTTTACTTCTATACTACTTCTATGTAAACACACTTTCCCTTAAAACCAAATGTTTTTGAGGATTTTATGTAACAAAACTGTCGGCACACTTTGACAGATCATTCTTGAAGATTTTAGAAATGGTGTGCATTTTACCCATTCAAAATTTACATCAACCAAGAAAATTAAAAGTTTCTTTCCCTTTTCATTACTACGATAATTACAGTAATAGTAATAATAATGACAGTAATAATAATGTTGGCGTCGTTGGCGATTTTGAGTTTCGATGGTATTCGCAACCCCGCTCCCCCTTTTCATTTTGCTCTCGTGCTCATCTTTTTCCGTTTATAAACTTTGATTTATTAAATACTATCCTATGGTTAATTGTAACCATATTTTGGTTACAATTAACATTATGATTCACTCGGGATCATTTAAATAACTGTTATCGTTATTGTTATTTTTGTTTCAAATAAAAACTCTCTTGTTATTGTTTATGGGATATTTCCTTTAGTTATTAGTTATTAACAATGGATAAATACTAAGGTATGGTGGACCCTCCAAATAATATTAGTAATAATATTTATATAATAATAGTAAAAAAATCTAATATTATTATTGTAATCTTTGAGAATGATTCGAAATTACTGTTGTTCAAGTTTGAATAAAAGTTCCTCCTTATTTTGGTCGATCCTAATTTTGCATGGGGTGAAAAAGACATCAACAAACCTGCCAACTTTTATGCATTGGCATAAAATTATATTTTTATATTTTAACTGGTAGTAAAATGCATGCCTTGCATTTATAAACTTAATTTATTATCTTTTTGACCACCACTATTTTTAAAAAATTTAAACTTATATATAAATACTTAGTACTCTTGAGGAAATTCTTCGAAACGTTTTAAATTATAACGTATGTTTCGACATAAATTAGTAATTCAAATTTTATTATTCAACCACTGGGAAAAATCATCTTCCTTAGGATTGAAAGTTGGCAGGTATGCACCAATTCTAAATACTTCAATCATGATCTTTAAATAGTTCTAGCATTTTTATTACTTGAAATCGTTAAAACATTTGTTGCTAAAAGAAAGATTGTTTATAACCTATAGTATAAAAGTGTTTTCATAATTTGTGTCCAATTTTATTAACGCGCCTTTTGAGCTATAAAAATTTCATCCACTAATGTTACCTCTCCATCATGTAAAACTTATGTTACATAAAATGTATTATCATAAGTATATCTGACTCATAAATGGTTGCGATTTGCAGATAGAAGACACAATCTTGAGAGAACAGGTGGAGATGTACAATCAAAGGTTAAGAGAATTCGAAGAAAAGCAGAGAGTATTCCGCGCACAACATGAAAGGCATGTCGAAGCAGAAGTGGAGGTAAGAGCCTCAAGGTACAGAACACACACGGTTTGAATTTTCTTTTTTTTAAAATCCTTTTTATGTTTTTCCTTACTCCCTGCAATTCTAGAACAGGTTTTTTATTTATTTGTTTTTACGTTTTGCTCGATAATTATATTTTAATCTCCCGCCTTATATTTATTTATATATTATAATTGGGTATAATATGAAAAAAACACAACTACTTCGATTTAGTAGGAACAACATATGACGCAATGCTAAACGAATGGAATTTAGTTGTTGTTTATTTAGTTATTGCTATTAGTAGTTGTTGTTATTTGTTTTAGTTGTTGTTTATTTAGTTGTATTTAGTTTCAATAACTTTTCTTTATAATGCAATAAAATCTGGCGAGCAGCTTTTTAAACGATCGAACACTTCGTTTGTTTATTTGTGGCTTGAAGTTAGGCTCGCAGAAAATGCCGTTCATGGGTTAAATTTAGTAGGAACAACACAACCTGTGACGTAGGCTATATTATACCCAATTACAAGCTAATTACGTATTATAAAATCCGAATTTGTCAAAAAAAAAAGCAGACGATTATTGAGGAGAAAGATTTTAGTTTTAAACCAAATACTAGTTTATTACAGCATGGCAGATAATTTTTCCAAAGAGCCTTAAAGATTTCAATTTTCAATTAAGAGTAACAGCAGAATATTAACTTCGAAATTTTATTCGTATTTTAATAAATTTGATTTAAAATGATACTGGCCATCGTTATATAAAAATAATTAAAACGTACCTACGAAAAGTCTGATAATCATTTGACAATGTTTGAGTTGCTGAACATGACCGTATGCTATACTTGATCTATCAATGATGAATATTTGTTAAATGCTCAAAAGAGTTATAAAAATTCTTAAAAAAAAAAAAAGAAGTTATATTTTTTGTGGCAATTAAGTATTAGAAAAATAGCCTGAAGTACCGCACAAATCTCAGTGCGAAACAGCTCCTAGACTTGCTTGTTGGATAACAGATCTTAGTATTCCTAAAGTACGATGATGATTTCGTAGTGGGATGGTCTTAGCAAGGATATTCTCGAAGACTAATAAATAATTATCATTAATGATTTATAATAATTTTTGGATAACAATATCGTTATCGTTATAAAAATTTCAAAATAATAATTCAATTAGATTTTAAAAGGAAATGGTAGTTAACAAAACCAATAGAATAGATTTTCTTGACAACAGTAGACAGCCTAATCTTGGCCAACGACAGGGTAAGAACAACAACCGTAGGTGTCGTTGGCGGAGGGGGGTATATATGTCCCTCACAATAAATTAAAAAAAATCCCTCAATATTTCAGACGAGTAGATAAAATTTTTACGAATCATCATCGATTTAAATTCATCAAAGATAAAAACAAGAAAGAGATAAAAAAAATAATCGTTTTACAATATTTCTTATGAATAAAATTTAAAGAGCTGTTCTGACTGTATATTTTAATTTCATTCCCCTCAAAAATTATACTCGTGCGTCGCTGATGACAGCAGTCTCGTTTGAAGACGAACATTATTTAATTATTATCAATTTAGTCTTCACGAAATTAAATTTCACTTTAATTAGTTTTTTTTCTTCAACCTTTTGTTTGTAAATCTAATTCACTTCAAACAAAGTAACTTTATTCCATTAAAAATAGCACTATAGATTTGGGATAAAAAATACGGGAAAATAATCCAACAATTCACGGAAACGTACACATAACCATTGTATTTGGGGAAAGAGGTATCTTATTACAAGCACTTAACTCCATTCCTTTCTATTTTACCGTTCTGTTGGCTAAACAAAATAAGTTTAGTAGCCCCCACTTTAAAAAGTATATATTCATCTACAATATAAAAAAGAGGGATGGGGTGATTTTTATACGAAGAAATCGAACGGTACAAATTGTCTGTACATAAAAAAGGTTATAAAAAAACCAGATGCAGAACGATATATAGCGCTGCCCGAACGCCGGCGTCTCAAAACAGCTGCCTACTAGGGCACCACCGTCGTTCCACAAATTCAAAAGAAATTGAGCACCTCCCGCTTCTCAAACAGCATTGAATTGTACTTCAAAGTAGTGGAAAAAGTATTGAAATAAAATTGAATTTCAGATGGGTGGGTGGGGATGTTTTAGAAGAAATTTTATAGTGTCCTCTCTCTCTCTCACAATTCTATTGCATTTTTTTTTAATTGCTCGGGGGTTTTTATGCGAATAATTTGAAAAAAATCGAGAGTATATCGCATTTCAAGCGTATGCTATCTAGCATAAAGAGAGTGTGTAAGTACTAGACGCCTTCTATAGATATATATATTTTTTATTTCGACTGATTTATCAAGGCTTTGGGAAAGTAGGTGAAGAATGATTCAGATATGACCTATATTTCATAATTATTTTGCGGATGATGGAATGTTATTACTTCAGGTTCAGCAATTATTAATTTGTACGAAGAATTCAATATGTCAAACACATACTTGAACACAGCTTCATTAATTAATTTACTGGAATGATATTAATATGTAACTCGAGCTTACTCGAACACAGCTTCATTAATTTGCTCGAATGATTTTAATATTCAACTTTAAAATACTCGAACACAAGTTCAGTAATCATTAATTTGTTTGAATGATTTTAATATGTAACTAGAACTTATTTGAACACAGCTTCGGCATTTATTAATTTGTTGGATTGATTTTAATATATGATCGTACTCGAACACAGCTTCCGTAAGTATTAAATTGCTCGAATGATTTTAGTATGTAACTCTAACGAAATTTAACTTATATTAAATTCATAGATTCCGTTATTTAGCACACATTATGGGTCAGCAGATTCAGGAAAACTGATTTACTACTCTCTTTGAAAACTTTTATCTATTGGTAGCAACATTTGTGATTTAAAATCGAAATCCCTGCAGTGGAATAGAAATAAGATTAATTATAAGTCATTTTATCTGCCTTTATGTATATAAAATTCAATAGTTCATTTATAACGGTACATTGTCGCGGTTAACGCATGGTCAAATAATTAAATAAATGATAGAATTTACCAAGTTTTTTTTTTAAAGTTTTAGTACATAATTTTTAACTACATAATAATTTTTCTTGTCGGAAGCGAAGTTCTTGGTATCCCTGCACTCCTCTTAGGGCTATTAGCGTTTATATATCAAGACAGGAAAGAGCAAACACTGGTAAAAGAATCATTTCCGTATGGCTAGTTTCCAAGAAAATACTCGTGACTACCAAGATTTTTTTTATTTTTAACTGTTGTAAGAAAAATATAAGACTGCTTTTATATCAGTGAAAAAGCCGCTTTTTTGAAAATTGTTTTATAGAGTGATGGAAAATTAACCCCTTGACATATTATTTCTTGATAAAGAAATGATCTTTGATTGCACTGTAAACAACAACTCGCATCCGAATGTGAAGACGTCTGAGACACGTCAATTATTGTTTTGACATAAGAAACAAATGACGTCTCCCAGACGTCTTCGTACGTCAAGAGGTTAAAAACTGTGACGCCTCGGTCACATTTCTTAACCCCTTGCCTACGTTTTAAAAGCTTTATTATGAGGATAAATGGTTATATGAAATTTTGAATCTTTCACATGTAGTGTCGGGGTAAAGTATCACGTTTACTAAACAAATAATAATATATTATAACATAAATTTTTCTATTACTATAGCAATACCTAGCAGCAAAATAACTTGAGCTCTCATTGTGCCAATATTCATGATCTTGGCTCAGTAAGGGTTCAAAGGGCCATTATTTTTCCGATATTGGCCCTATATAGAATTTTCCGATTCCCCCGATATTTTACAGCCACTTTACTACCAATATCGATCCTATATATGACTGTCAGGTTCTCCCGATATTTTATATCCATTACTTAGCCAATGTTGGTTCTATATTGCAAAATGTAGGCCCCCTATATAGACCATTCTAGGACTGATATTAAAAGATCTAGGCATCCCAATTTTGGTCCCTCTGTGCATGTTCTTATAGGTCCCATATCGAGGCAATTTTGAGCCCAATTGGGGCCAAGATAAAATTGTTGCTTCTATCTATGGAAGAAATTTTCTCACAAAGCGTAGCAAATTTTATACGGAGATGCCAACTTGCTCTGGACGGCGGATAAATATTCTCGAATCATAGTCTTTTTAATGGGAGATTTTTAATGTGAGAAGGTTTAGTAAATTCAATTTTTTGGGTTTTTGCTCACAACTACTTCTAAATAATTCAAAGGTTTATGTGATACTCCACTTTTGATCAATTAAAAACTTGGCAAAATTAAACGAACGTCTGCAAATTTTAGTTTGTGGTTTTCTTTTTAAATTAATCTAACGAAGATGAAATGTTTATTTATTTTTCTCTAAAAAAAAATCTAACGAAATAATTCCTCTTCTTTTGATAAAAAAATGTATCTCCCCGTTTGAAACTAATCTTGAAAAACTCAACAGATAGCAGGAGATGATACTCAAAACATCTGCTATGATTGTCCACGCTTGTATCATGGTTGTTTAATTCAAAATGTAAAAAACACGTTTTTTCTTTTTTTAATGGTGACAAATAAGTTTCCCCTTTCATGCAATTGAAAGGTGAAGAGGAAAGTAAAAAAGTGCCGAAAACGTGTCGTGTTTGTAGTTTTCATAGATAACTTCCCTGTTAAAGACATCTGATACTCATAGATTCTAATCGCCTAATCCATAAACGGCGAGTTTTGATCCCGTAGCTGATATATCTTGTCGCCAATGTGTTGTATCCTTGTTGCTTTCAATTTTCCCACCATCGAAATGAAAAGGCGGAGATTTGAAATATTTTTCTATAAATATTAAAAATTAAATAATTTAAAGTCTTATGTTATACCAATTATTAGGCCTCAAAAAAATATTTATATGAATTTTATACACATAGCAATGTGCAGCGCTCCAAAAAAATAGAATTACATTGAATAAGTTTTGATCTAATAATCGGATCTTCGCGTTCTAGGACTCAAACTTAATGATTCGAGGTATTCTCCTTAA